ATTATTGGATTAAGTCATTTTTATGGAAAAATTACTTAGGGAAGTGGACTGGAGGTAGTTTTGTTAACGGTGAATTGAGATTAAAATTCTTGAGTACTACTGTTTTTATTATTTTAAGCTTTTGTTTTGGGTTGTGAAAAACTGTCATACTTAAAACCCAATTCAAATCCCCTTTCTTATGTTTCTTGAATGTTTAAACACAACCATTTACATACAATTTTTGAATATACGATCAAAAAAGATGAATAAAAAATTCTAAATACAAATTTGTTAGTATCAATGCACAATAGTTATAAATTATTATTTTTAGCTAACTATTATTTTTAAACTAAGAGAACTTTAATATACATGGGTTTTCTCAAAGATTCGTATACTCTATCCATCCATTTATTATAAGGCTCTATAATATAATTCACTGAGAAAAATAAATGTAATTATTGTTAAAAAGATAGATGTAATAATAAATTTCTTAAAATTAGGTTACTTTGCTATATTTATATTTTTATTTATTCATATTACAATATATATTATACATTTTTAAAGTTGTTCAGTTGTTTATTTCACAATGAATAAATGATCTATTGGAAATAAAAAAATGTTATAAATGATCTTTTCAATTTTTAATATATATTTTTTAATTCTACCATCTAACTAATATTACTTTTATTATTTATCAATATTTGATAAGAAATATTTTAATAAAATTATTATTCTATCATTTTTTTAATATGTGTAAAATGGTCAATTAGATCATTTATTATAAAATGAAAGAAATATTAAACTTAAAAATATATATATATATATATATATATATATATATATATATATATTAAGTGATTGTTTGATCTAAACGGGTCAAAAATTGATTTTAGATATGCATAATTGTTTTGATATTTTTTATTTGTTAGAGTTTGATGAGGATGAACATGGAGGTTCATCTTGTAACAGAATTCTGTTAGGGTTGAGAGAAAGAAGAAGAAGAGAGTGAGAGAAAAAGAGAGGGAAAATATGATATGAATTATATTATTGAAGATATGTAATATACACTATGAGGTATCCTATATATACCCAATCTATACATTTGATTTACATTGAGTATTTCTAATATCCCCCCTCAAACTCATGGTGAGGTCTTTCAAGCTAGTCACCTTGAGTTTGTGTCTGAGATGCTGAAAAGGTCCAGTCCCAAGAGGTTTTGTGAGTGTGTCAGCTATTTGTACCGACGCCGGAACATGATGCACACGAAGTTGGCCAGCTACAACTCGTTCACGCACAAAGTGTATATCAAGCTCAATATGCTTGGTGCGAGCATGAAGAACCGGATTATGAGAAAGCAAAACCGCACTTAAGTTGTCACACATGAGGATAGGGGTGTGATAAGTGATATTGAGTTCAGACAATAGAGATTCCAGCCATAGCAGTTCCGAAGTTGTATGAGCTAAGGCGCGATATTCAGCCTCTGTGCTGGATCTAGCAACAAGGGTCTGCTTCTTTGAACTCCATGAAATGAGATTAGGACCAAAAAATATACACGAGCCAGACGTGGACCGCCTATCATCCGGGTCACTGGCCCAATCAGAATCGCTATAGGCACACAACGACATTTTTGAAGCTGTAGCCGACGGAGATAAATGTAGACCATGAGAGATAGTGCCACTGAGGTACCGAAGAATGCGTCTAACCGCAGACCAATGCGTATCAAGAGGATCAGACATGAATTGACAAGCTTTGTTGACACTATATGCAATGTCTGGCCTGGTTAACGTGACATACTGTAATGCCCCTACGATGGACCTGTAGAAGGACGAATCTGCCAGCTTTGAGGCGCCATGTCTGCTGAGTTTGCAGTTGGTCATCATGGGAGTTGGAACTCCATTGGCATTGGCCATGTTTGCTCGAGACAGTAAATCTTTGATATACTTTGATTGTGTCAGGAGCATGGAGCCATCTGATTGCAAGTTCACTTCAATGCCAAGAAAGTATTTCGGTGTGCCAAGCTTTTTCAACGCAAAAGCAGTGTGCAGTTGATGAATTAAAGTGTGAATAAGTTTGGAATCAGATCTTGTGATTAGTATATCATCAACATAAACTAGAGCATACAAGACAGTACCTTTAGAGTGATAGAGAAACAAGGAGTTGTCACACTTGGATGTGGTAAACCCAAACTGAATCAGAGCTTGTGCTAGTTTCGCATACCAGGCCCGTGGAGCCTGTTTGAGACCATATATTGCTTTGTGAAGCTTGCATACAAGACTCTTATCATCTGTCACAAAACCTGGAGGTTGAGTCATATAAACTTCATCAGTCAATGTACCATTAAGAAAAGCATTGTTTACATCAATCTGTTGAATATCCCAGGTGTAGGTAAGCGCCAAGGTAAGAATAACTCTGATAGTTGTTGGTTTAACAACCGGAGAAAATGTTTCAGTGTAGTCAAACCCATGTTCTTGATGAAATCCCTTAGCTACTAGTCTAGCTTTGTATTTATTAATAGATCCATCAGCATTTTCCTTGATCTTGAACACCCATTTACAGCCCACAGCTTTTCTGTCAGGGGGTAATGTGGTGAGAGTCCATGTGTGGTTTGACTGCAAGGCATCAAACTCAGACTTCATAGCAGCATGCCAAGAGGGATGAGATAAGGCCTGTTTTACAGTTGTTGGTTCAGCTTCAGTATGTGCAAGCAAGGCTTTAGGTTTAGATTTCCCAGTTTTTGCTCGAGTCAGCATTGAGTGGTCATTAACCAAGAGTGCAGGTGGAGTTCTGTGACTGGGAATGGATGGAGAGTAAGAAGACTGAGATGTGGAACTAGAAATAGTATTAGCTTCAGAACTTGGAGCAGATTCTGTCTCTGAGTTGGAGAATTGGTTATTGAATTCTGGGAACATGTGAGCAGTATTGTCACAAGCTGTAGACTGCCCTGCTGCAGATTTACTAGGTGAAGTGTCCTCTTGAGATATGATAGGATGAGAATTACTTACAACATCATCGTGATTAGCCTGTAGGGGAGTAGATGTTGGCTGAGAGTTTGGGGCCAGGATTGATTGATTAGACAGCTCAGGCATTGGGACTGCCACAGGGTCTAGGGGACTAGTGATGGGTTGGGTATTAGATTGTAAAGAGATGCCAGCTGTGACCTTTGGGGTTGTGATAGCTGTGCTGGTAGGTAAGGCTGTTGGACAAGCAATTGGCTGGTGTGTTAAAATCTGACCTGCTGTAGTGTCTGACTTAAACAGCTGAGGAAAGGGAAAGTGTTGCTCATGGAAAGTGACATCCTTTGAAATGTAAATTCTGCCAGAACTACTCAAGCATTTGAAACCTCTATGTTGAGGAGAAACTCCAAGATATACACATTCCTGACTTCTAAGTTGCAATTTGTGTTGATTATATGGTCGCAGGAGAGGGTAGCAGGCACAACCAAATACTCTAAGATTTTTGTAGTCAGGATGCTTGCCATACAAAGCATGGAAAGGTGAATGGTGTGTAGTCAATGGAGATGTTGGCAGCCTATTCATGAGGTAGATAGCAGTAGTAAAACTGTGATCCCAATATGTGAGTGGCATGGATGCATGAGCAAGCAGTGTCAATCCCATCTCAACAATTGTTCTATGTTTTCTCTCAACAGAGCCATTTTGATGAGAGGTGTGAGGACAAGTTATTCTGTGTGTAATTCCAAGATCCTGCAGATACTTTGTAAAAGATCTAAATTCACCACTAAAGTCAGATTGAACAGATTTAATTGTTAGACCAAACTGAGTTTGAACAAATTTGTGAAACAATTGGAATGCATTTAGTGCTTCAGATTTTTGTTTAAGGAAGTACAGCCAGGTATACCTGGTGTGAGCATCCACAAATGCAATGTAATAGTTAAAACCAGCACTAGAAGTAGAAGAGCACCACTACTGACAAGACAGAGCTAGCAGGAAGATTGATGAGCGGCGGAAGCGATCTAGATCGAACCAGGCTTTGATACCATGTTAGAGTTTGATGAGGATGAACATGGAGGTTCATCTTGTAACAGAATTCTGTTAGGGTTGAGAGAAAGAAGAAGAAGAGAGTGAGAGAAAAAGAGAGGGAAAATATGATATGAATTATATTATTGAAGATATGTAATATACACTATGAGGTATCCTATATATACCCAATCTATACATTTGATTTACATTGAGTATTTCTAATATTATTAGTAAAATTTATTATGATTCTTTTAAATTTATTTATTTAAAGTTAAAATTTTATAATTTTTGAGTTTAAAGATAATGATTTTCATATAAAATTTATAGTTTAATATACTTTTAGAAAAATTTATCCCACATAAATCACTTTATCTTCAAATAATTTTTAATCACAATAAATTTTTTCCACAAAAGACACGGTTAAATAAATGACAAAAAAATAATAAAAAAATATGAACAATATTTTAAAATTCAAATCAACTCCTTAAAGTATCAATTTTAATTTTCAAATATATTTTTTTCTACTTTTAAAATTTTTAACATATGTTTTTTAAGCATATAAGTTAACAAAATCTACTAAAAATTATTCTGAAATGGTAATCGAAATAAAATAATTAGATAAAATTCTAAAAACATGTAATAATAAAAAAAATGTACTTGCATAGGTGAGTGATTGAACTTTGATTTGCTACGCGTATAGAATGAAGTAGTACATGAACTTAAAAGCTGTCACAAAAAGGAAAAACTAAACTAATGTTCACATCGCAATATTAACTTAAACAAAAAAGAAAAGAAAAACCTCCGAATGAGAAACTAGAAAACTTTATTTATTTGTTTTCCATTAGAACACGATTTTTAGTTCCTTCCTAAACCCACCTGCCATTACGACCTACAAAACAAACTCTTGTCTTCATCGTTTTCAATACACCAGATTTGTTGTCTTGTCTTCATCGTTTTCACTACACCAGATTTGTTGTCTTGTCTTGTGTTTTGTCCAATCGAAATTCTTGAGACTCGTCTCTCACTGAGACTGAGCCAATAAAAATGGGGAGAGAGAATGGTTCGTTAGTTCACAAGAGAAACAGTAATACAGCTTTACCAACCACCTATTCCAACGACAAAAACCGCCGTAACCGTTCTAAAACATTCAACAACGTTAAAATCACTATCCTCTGCGGTTTTGTCACCATCCTCGTCCTACGTGGCACCATCGGTGTTAATTTCGGTTCAACTGACTCCGACGCCGTCAACCAAAGCGTCATCGAAGAAACCAACCGCATCCTCGCCGAGATCCGATCCGACGCTGACCCTTCTGATCCCGACGATAAAGATGAGACCTTTTTTAATCCGAACGCTACTTTCACGCTTGGTCCCAAAATCTCCGATTGGGATTCTCAGCGGAAGAGTTGGCTTAATCAAAACCCTGAATACCCTAGTTTCGTTAGAGGTAAAGCTCGAATCTTGCTTCTTACTGGGTCTCCTCCTAAGCCTTGTGATAATCCTATTGGGGATCATTATTTGTTGAAGTCTATTAAGAATAAGATTGATTATGGTAGATTACATGGGATTGAGATTGTTTATAATATGGCTCATCTTGATATGGAGCTTGCTGGTTATTGGGCTAAATTGCCTATGATTAGGAGGTTGATGCTGTCGCATCCTGAGGTTGAGTGGATTTGGTGGATGGATAGTGATGCTTTTTTCACTGATATGGTTTTTCAGCTTCCTTTGTCCAAGTATGATGACTATAATATGGTTATTCATGGTTACCCTGATTTGTTGTTTGAGCAGAAGTCTTGGATTGCTATCAATACTGGGAGTTTTCTTTTCAGGAATTGTCAGTGGTCTTTGGATTTGCTTGATGAGTGGGCTCCCATGGGTCCTAAAGGTCCGGTTCGTGAAGAGGCCGGGAAGGTTTTGACTGCTAATCTTAAGGGAAGGCCGGCTTTTGAGGCGGATGATCAGTCTGCGTTGATATATTTGTTGCTGTCCAAGAAGAAAAAGTGGATGGATAAGGTGTTTCTTGAGAATTCTTACTATCTGCATGGTTACTGGGCTGGGTTGGTTGATAGGTATGAGGAGATGATTGAGAAGTATCATCCGGGATTAGGAGATGAGAGGTGGCCGTTTGTGACGCATTTCGTGGGTTGTAAGCCGTGTGGAAGCTACGGAGATTATCCTGTTGAGAGGTGTCTTAGTAGTATGGAGAGGGCTTTCAATTTTGCTGATAATCAGGTGCTCAAACTGTATGGTTTCAGGCATCGCGGTTTGTTGAGTCCTAAGATTAAGAGAATCAGGAACGAGACAGTTACTCCTTTGGAGTTTGTCGACCAGTTTGATATTCGAAGGCATCCTTCGGAGAAGAGTGAATCAAAAAGCTAGTGAGAGATAACTAGTTTAATTGGTGATTATTATAGACAATGATTGGTTAGAAGTGGAATTTTGTTTTGTGACAGTTCACATGTAACTTCTGTTTGTTTTGTTGTCTTGGTAATTTTTTGAAATCTTAGGATAGAATTCTTTCACAAGTTATCTTCTTTCTGCTGTGTTTGAAGTATCAGCAAAAAAAAATTTATTTGCTGATCTGCTGTATACTGAACTTCTACTGAATTTTCTCTTTTGGGGCATGAATTCAACTCAATATCCACACATTCATTCCCTCTTGAAGTTTTTTTTTTTTTATTTGTAACAACTGGTTTCTGTTTACGTATGCTTGGCTGGCTAGTTATCTTAAAACTGAGCATTTATTTTTGACTGGAAATTATATATATCTTATATTAAAAAAGTAAATTAAAATAAAAGTTGAAACATTAATAAAATCGAATGTTTTTTTAGCACCAGATTTGGATCAGTCTGGTTTTTTAAGCAATGGCTTATGGCTTGTCACATTACCCAAAATTATAGTTTGATATCCGAGTTACTAAGCCCTGTTATTTTTTTTTATCTGTTTAGAATTTAGTTTGAGTTTGAAAATCAAATGATTTGTAAAACACTTTTAAAAATTGTCATTGTTTCTTTAAGTATTTCTTCAACATTAGATAAGTAGATAATATCACGGTTAGGTAAGCATCATTAACATAGACAAAAGCTTGTCTGCATAATTTTTTTCATACACATGAATCTCAATTCAAACCTAACAATATATGCTCAAGAATTTCATAAAAATAAATTAAAATAGAGCCTTTTTCATTTAAAAAAAAAAGCTAAAAAGCAATAAAAATAGACTTTTGTCCAAGAAAACAAAGTTTAAAACTTTCCTAAAGCTAAACAATAATGCTGGAGTCATCGATTTGATATCAAGAGTTTGACAGATGAAACATGTGCTAAATTAGTACAGTTAGACTTAGAGTGTGCTCTACTAGCTTCCCTACCTAAATGTAAGTAGTGGTACTTCAAAGTGCAACGAAGACAGACAGTATCGGCAGACAGAAAAGCTCTTCATGAATGTGCTTTACAATAGCTATCATGTTCACAAACCGAAGCCAATCATTTAACCACGTTTCCAGCCAAAGCTTTGTGACTATCTATCAGTATTTCATTCATTTGTGCAATCTGGTGCAAAAGTTGGGCAATTTTCTGTAAATAAAACAATCAGAGTCAGAAAAACAGAGGAACGGAAGACATTCAGGAAAATCCAAACAAAAAGGCTTCAAGTAGTGAATCAATGAACAGAAAGAAGACAAAGACAAATATGCTAGTATTTATATGAGGTGAATGAATAAATAGAAACTAAGAAAGTCAGACATGACCAAAATATTGGATCTTCTATCTGTGCACACCGCGAAACATGGAAACCATGGATCCAATCTTGAGAAGAATATTGCCGAGCAGAATAAAACAAAATAATGCTAAACAATGCTAGGTTATCATGAGCTCTGAAACACATACTACTCTTTGAAAAAAGATGTGTATGTGTCTGTGCCGGCACCTGAAACCGACATCCACATGTGTGATTATGTTTAATTTTTATTTTTTTTAAATTATTACCAATGTCAATGTATTTGTGTAAGTGTCATGTTTCTGGTATCTATGCTTCATAGATCATGAACAAGCTTTGATAAACTTCTCAAGAAACACTTATATAATAATAATAACTATTAAAAAGAATCTTTGAAAGAACTTTAATTTTCTAAACAAGAGCTTCTTGCATTAGTTAAAGTTAGTTTCTGGACTTCACTAATTTTAGTAGCTCTCGTGATTATATAACTGTATTTTAAGAACATAGAACTTTTAATTGAAAAACTTCCCCGAGCAAGTAAGTAATCAAAACAAGGCCTATATAAATTTCAATTTATTGAAAAGCTGTATAACTTTATTTACGTATTGTATATTTTCTGCTAATGCAAGAGAAAGAAATAGCTATCAAAATTCTGAAATTGCAATGAAACATAAAAAATAAACAAAATGCAAAATTAAAGTAATTGAATTTGAACGAACCCCGTCTTTCTCCATAATGATTTGCAGAAGACGAGACTCATTGGGTGTGAGGTTCCTCTTACTCTCCTTCCTCTTCATCAACGTCACAACGATAATCACCACGATGGCAGCAGGTAACCCATATGACCGAATTGCCCCTCCGGGGTTCTGGAAAGATGAAACCGCGGAAAAGAACTTAGAACGCAAGATCTGGAAGCCAATGCTCATCCACCCGATAAAGTCGCCACCTTTTCGGAGGCTAGAATCGAGCGGTGGTGGCGAGAGAGAAGAATATTCGCCTGACATGTGACAATCAGAAGATGAAGAAGAAGGGGGTAATTGCGATAGCGATTGCAATTGCGATTTTGAACATGGAATTTGATGATTTGTTAAGGGATTGAGATTCTCGTGATTGATGGGGGGAAATACAAAATAATCGTCTTTGTTATCGGAGATACTTACCAATGGCGATTCACGATGATCCACCATTGTTGTTTCCAATTGTTCGAGTGAAATAGAGATTGAAGTTTGAAGAATTGGAAAACAAAAGAAATTGGGAAAATTATAATCACGAAGAAGAGTATTGTTATTCCAAGTTTCGATTTTTACTCGATTTATAACAAATTCAAATTGAAGTTAGGGTTTGATTAGGTAAGATTCTGAACCCAGTTTTTCAAATCACCTTTTAAATATTTATTTATTAGTATTTGTTTCTTTTACTAAAGATTTTATATAAAAAGATTTTCTGTATAATAACAAACACTTGCCTTATTTTTTGGTTAATTCAGTTAGTAGACGAGGATGTGCACTAAATAAAAATGTTACTATATAAACTTTAAAGTTAATAGTAGCAGAATTACATAATTTTAATGAAATATTAGATTTTACAAATAAAAAAGATTGACACATTTTATTAACCGATCATAAATTATATATTAAATTAGATTGAAAATTTTAGATTAATAATATAATATAATATAATAATATATTTTAATTAATTAATAGTATAAATTTTTTTAAACTATCAAGGACGTCTCCATTAAATCTTTTATAAATCTCTACTATTGCAGTTTAATACATTTAAAATTTAATTTTCAAAAATATTATAATAATTAGATGTCCTTATGCGCGATAGTTAAGTTTTATTGAATTATTATTTTATACTTGAAAAATATTTGTAACTATAATTGTGTACTTTTTATATTAATTATATTTTTTCTTATAAAAATTAATAATAATTTAATAGTTTGTATGATATATAGTTTCTATGACATATATATGGAGCAACTTAAGTGAGAGATTTTCTTTAATCAAAAGAGAGAAATGAAATTATGAAGGAAATGATAAAACAAGTATGAGTTACACCAAACTTAAGGAGAAAAAAAAGTTTAAAGGTTGACATACCAAGTTTGTCACGTATCAAGGAAAGTGGAAATATGATTTTAAATTAAGGGATTTTGAGTATTTAAATTCTTCATTTAGACTCATTTAAAAAAAAAACTTGCAAGAAAATGAGGCGGATCAGAACGGGCTCACGGACACTGCATCTTTTTAATTTTAAAAGAAAAATGAATTTATGTTAATGCCCATGTCAACAAATGTTTGCAAAAATAAAATAAAATGGTGAGCATATTAGAGGTGTTGCCCTAAACCTTGGCCTATCTTACAAAAACTTGCATGTAAAACGGACATGTCCGTCGGATCGAATCTGTTTTGCCACCCTTAGCGAAATCATATCAATTATCTTAGGAGCCGAAAAAAGATGAATGGTGATATTAAACTTCTTGATGATGGTGAAATCCTGAATGGATGATTTGGAGGCCTTTATAGAGTGATTTGAAATATGAGAGACTTTAGCTGCAATCAAGTTTAAAGCTTTTTTCCAATGCATAATACGATTACTGAAACGAACTTGATTCCTTGTATGCCAACTATGATTGATAATAAAAACTACATGTGCTTGGAGCACTACCTTACATTAAGGACTCCAACTACGGTAATAGAGATTCAGGATATCAAGAATGAAATCACAATGCACATTCATACCAACTAAGAAGAAGAACTAATGTCGAAGCATTGAAGAAAAGGAAAATTGAAAGAAAAGATTATGTGAAGTTTCCTAATCCAATTTGTACATAATTCACATAGAAGGGATGCAATAAACTATCATTATAAGATTCAAATAAGTTGACATTATGTTGCAGTAAAGCCTCTAAATAGTGAAAGCATCAGAAGAAGGAATATTTGAGTTCCAGATGTGCTTTGACTAAAGAAGGCTATGACTATTGCAAGCTTTGATATCAAAAGCATATGTCATAGATAAATTTCATACAATATTGTGATTCCAGACCTTACAATCATTAGTGCAGTCTAAAGGAATGGTAACTTTATTAGCAAGCAAAATCAAATTTAAAACCATGTTGCAGGTATATTCAGGAAAGTGGCAAGAGCCATCAGTAAAGAAGTCAACCACACAATAATTAAATTTATATGATTAGAATGATGAATATTCTTAAAATTTATATGATTAGAATGATAAATATTCTCAATTAGAGGAGGTTTTCACTAGGAATCTAGCTAAAACTTTGTGTTTGGGCCATTGCCGATGATAATTGTAGAATTTGAAATAATGTTGGAATAATCATTTTTAATATTGCTTCAAATAGTTAGAGGACATGCTTTGTCTTATTGACTTATATTTCTCTTGTATATTCTCTATGCCATTGTTACTTCCACTAGGCCTTTTTCAAGTTCTCCCTTGTGTAATTTTAGCTGCCTTGGTGGTTCTATAATATCATAATTATTCATAAAGTTATACTAACTGAATAAAGAAAATTTTATGATGCATAAATAAGATGCTATTACGTTACGGATTAGGTTATTTTCCATTATTGAATGAATAAGACCAACAAAATTTAAGTATATTACATATGTGTGAGCATCAAAAAATATACACCACAAACTAT